GGGGGGGGGGGGTCATAAGGGCTTTTTCGTGCTTATGCAGCTTCTTGCTGACTAGGTGAAAGGGAACGATGTGTAAACAGGTACCTATAGGAATATACCGTTTATATATAATAGCATAATAAGTAAGAAAAGAAAAAAAGATGTAACCAGGGTATCAGTTCAACTCTATTTAAAATTCAAGCAAATTTTTATTAAATTAATAATGTTGTGAACTATACAATTCTCATGACTATCCAGTGCTATAGGAAATGGTCAAGAGAAGTTTCAATGGAGTATGAAACTGTTTATTTTCATGATGTCCGCCATTTCGCTTTTTATCTTTCTTTTTTCTCACTCTGCGGATATCGTACCGCGTGGGAAATACCTACTCCCCACCTGGTTTCCATGTTTAAAATTAGCATTAATATGGAAACTACAACGTGGCACACGACACGCATCCGAATGACAATAGTTCTCGTGCACTTCTCCTGAGCCACCCTGTTGGACTGTATACGTGTTAGATGTGCAAGACAAAGAAAAGAAATGAGATAAAATCCAATAAAGTTACATAGAGAACAATTTATCGATAGACTATGTCCCTTGATCATTTTCGTCTTTAAAGGACCGATAAGTAAAATTATCGAGAAATTGATGCGGCTTCGCGTTAAGCCAACAAAATACTTTCTAATTGGACAACTTGAAAAATGACAACAACTGGGCAAACTACTGTGGTACTTTTATAGGTAAAAATAAAAAAAAGGATTTAGAAGAAAAGTGTATCTACTAAATAAGATACTTTGGCTTGACATTTAAAATCGATTTGCCATCTTGCCCTTAAATGGCATCATGTAGTTCTATAAATTCTTATAAAATTGTTATTTTCTAGAAATAAATGTTCGGACGATACACAGACGAAGATCAAAGTTCCTTGGCCACCTAATTTCTACAGTCAAATATTTTGCCCATAAATAGTCTAGATAACGAGGCAATTTCTTCGACAAATATTCGCAAGTAAAAACCGAAATGTAAACTCATTCCGGTGGCAAAATAGTGTTGGAAAAATGTCTATTTCTATTCGATCCCAGAAATAAGCAAACTGCAAGTTACGTGACGGAAATGTGAGAAATTTCTCAATAAATGCAAGATACATAGTCACTGCAGCAAATAAGCCACATATGCATTCTACGTGTGACTTTACGTATACACATGCGGGTAGATAGGTTAGGTAGATATAGATATCTTTTAAAATTGGCCTTTCCCGAGATGCTGAATTCAATTCGAGGAAAATTGGGGAATTTGATGATTACCCTACCAACATCGTAGGAGTGTGGAGGATTGGTACCTCTGCAAGTATTTGAGGTTGGTGTGCTCGTTCGGTATGAGCCTTGTTTATGACGGAGTTTCTACCTTCCGACGGTAGAGGTCATAGGCTTACCCATGACTGCGGGATAATTAAATGGTAGACGATTTGTTTTAAATCCTTGAAAATGGTTGCCTGGAGTATTTCCAGCGATTTCAATCCCGCGTATGTCAGCCTGTCAACGCAGAAGAGTAGGACATGCAAATAATGAAATAAATAAACACGTGTATGCAAAGCTGCGCGTTGCTAGCTGGAACGGAAACGCCTTGCGACTTGAAAATGAGAAAAGGAGCCATTCCTGGGAGCTGCCGGAAATTATTGGAAGGAGTGTCAGGGACATAGAAAAAGAGAGCACGTGAAGGACCAAGATGGAATATTGAATGGAGTACATGAGAGGAGAAGTAAGGGAAGTGAAAGACATCAGATAACCCGTTTAGATGTGGCAAGAAATTAACTCGGTGTCATTGATATGCCCTGGAGACTGGGACAAGTTATTTTGGAAAACTCATTAGCTTAATTGAAAGGTAAACCAAGATTCACTACTATAGTCATCATCGTTTGTTTCTCCATTGTCTTAATTAATTAACTTATTAATTGGCTTACATTAATGCAACGTCATCACATAATGTATCTACCTAGATGCAGTATGGATAGTTAAGATCAGACGTTTTTGGTATTTTCGATATAAACACCTTGATTTTGAACCATTATTCGTTTTACACTTAATACCAGCCCAAAAACACCTTCTAACCGACTGGGTGATATTCTACTGCGGTGTCAGGATTCTCGTATTTCGCTGCGGAATACTTAAAGCTTCTTTTCTTTAAAATGGAAAGTAGACGGGATAAGGTATTACTGTCCTGCATCCGTCTCTCTTTTTCTCCCTTTTTTTCCTTTGCAATAATGCTATCGTCTCCCTCTTTCACCACCCCGACGGATGAGGAACAGGATATCGCTTAATGGAGAATACCGCGTAAAGTGGCAAATTAAATAAGGTTTATGAAAGAAAATTTGATACGGGAATTAGTGGGTCGCCAGGCGGATACTGAATTTTTAAAAAGGTTAGTATCACCTTCGTTCTGGGATTCTCGCGTTTTTTACTTTGAACTTTAGTACGTTTCTCTGGTTGTTGGAAGACAGGTAAATATTAAGTACCTTCGTAGAATTGCTTTTAGTCAACCTCTCTAGATGGCGGTAATTGCATAGCAATCACGTTATAATTAACTGTTTTGCCACTGAGCTGTACTAGCGCCATCCGAGTACCTGACCCAGTAATAGTTTCTCTAATTTCCTGACGACGTCAAAGAGTGCCAAAGCTGGTAGCTTATTATACAAAGATCAAATAATCAATCTATAAAAACTAAATTGGTACGTTTCTGATCTAGAAAATTAAATATACCAAATATATACAGTATAGAAAAAGACACAGGTTTTGCAATATTTTCACCTAATGTATGTACTTTGAGTAGAAAAAGAAGAAGTCATAGAATATTCCAAACGACAATATAATAAATTCGACAAACTTATCATGGAGGCTTAAAGAAAATTATCTGCAAACATATTTGACCTGACAGAGCGCTCGAGGTATTCGGCAGATTGATTGAATTTACTAAACCTATAAAGCATTCAAAGGCTCGTGAATTTTTTCTATGCTATTATATACGCTGAACGTTCGCCACCTCAGCCAAGGTTATTAACATCACTTTATACAGCGAGCAATGAAGCTTCGCCCTTCCTAAGGATTTCAACTCCTAATTTCTTTTTTCACCTTCATCTTATATCCTTCTTTCTTCTCGCAGTACCCTCTCCCATGCTTAATGACATCCCTCAGGATATCAATACTTCTAAGTACCAAGGGGGATCCTGAAAATTCATTCTCCTAGGGTACGTTGATGTAATTTGATTACAAAATTGTTTTTCATTTTTACCTTAACTTTTTTCTCCCTCGTTTTCTTTTATTAGCTTACCTGTTTGATGGACGTGGATTCGCATAGGCCACACAGGGGATAACCACAATCTCTTCCAAGCGTGAGGTCATGTATACTAATTTCTCATTGAGAATCGGTGGCATGGCTCTGCTAATTTCTGAAAATTCAATGAACTACGTTATTACAGACACCGGAAAGTTAGCGTCGCGTTAATGTAAAGTAGATGAATTACATAAAATAACAGACTCCTGTCAAGGATATTCTCCCATTGAAATACAATTTCATTGACGCAGACAACAATCGAATTAGCGAATGATTAAATGGCAGGACTCAAGTTGAACGAGCCGGCAATATATCTGTCGTCTCTAATAGCGAATACAATAAAGCAACCTCTCAATTCAATAGAATAATAATGGCTGCCCTCACTCAGTGTATATATAAGTTTTATTCTGTTTTTTATCTCATACAAAAGTTTCACAATGCTCGCTCATCCCGCAGAACGATTCTTTTGGTATCGAAAGGAATAGCTACCTCGTATTCAAGATATTCAAATTTATGATGATTCTTTGCGTTTCATCGTTCCGTCGTTCGGCGTCTAATGCTTCGATAAAACGTGGATAACGGGCAGATGGTAGAAACGATAAAATGACGAGCAATGCGCGGTCACGGATTCTCAAAGTATCCATGAAGCTGCTGCAGGTGAAATGAGCTGGGGCTTAAAAAAAAAAGCAAACAAAGAAATGGTATAGAAAAACAATAAGAAAAGAGGAAATGAAGGGGCGGATGAAAAGGAATTGAGTATGAAAAAAGAAATGGAAGAAAGCAAAGGAGAACTTTATTGGATACACGAACGCGACGTTCCTCGTAAATCACGCACCGTCCGGAAATATTAGTCGATATTTTCTCTACAGAGAAAAATGGATATTTAATATGGATGACAGCTGATACTGAATATCTGCTGCCATGAAAATTACATAGACCTCCCTCTCTGCTCTTTCCCTCGTTGCTTGTAGTAGTAGCAGCAGCAGTAACAATATTAATAGTAGCAGTCGGAGTAGTAGCAGCAATGGGGTAAGAGTTGTAAACGTTACAGCTGACGTAACGTCAGTTTAGCATTCCAGGCAAAATACTCCAAAGTTGTAAGAAGCTTTATGAAACCAACTGGGAATAACTTCAATCGCGATACCAAAAGCTTTACTTGCCAACGTAACCAAAATTATCGGTAATTTTATAAACTTTAAAGGATACATTGCCGAGAAAAGGAAGAAGCAATCGTAATTTGAGGGGAAAAACGCGAATCGCTGCACTTTTGAGACTCATATTCGACGTTTCTCATTACCAACAAAATATTTTTGAAAAGTCTGGATCAAAGATAGCGACAAATTTATTTTGGTGGTTAAACTTTTACGGTATATTGGGTAATGAAATGGAAAAAAAAGGGAACAGACGCGGAGGCTAAAGTGGAAGAAAATAAAGCTGATGAAACGGGGTAAGAGAGGAAATTGGGGGAAACCAGAAAAAAATAAGTCAGACAAAATTGCTTGAAAATTCGTTCAATGAATAAAATAAGATTATACAAAGTAAAAAAGAGAAAATGAAATAAAGATACGGAATCATCTCCTATATTCGTTCAGTGACCGTGATCCCCGAACAGCATTTCCTAGACTTCTTTAATATCCCGTCTCGGGTTTACTCGACCGAATGAGTTTTGCACAAGTTCGCCGCAAACCCCAGCGCCAGCCCGTCAACCCGCCATCGCCCCTTGTGATATACGGGAAATGTTTTCATGAGCACGTCATAAATACCTGCGCAGTTGGTGGCCCTGGAAAAAGGGTAAGGGTGGTTCACGAGGAGTATAGCATAAACTGGTAAGGAAAATGGCAGAGGCCAGTTTATTCGCTGTGGCTGAACACGTGAGCTCACGCACCCTCGTTCTTTCTTATTCTCTTTCTATTCTTTGCTATCTTAATGCCTTTCCTTCACTTCCTTTCCTTCTTCCTTCTGGGAAAAACCTAAACCACTTTGAGACTTACGGCAACGGTTAATAGGGAATTATGAGTGTGGATAGCAGAAGCGAATGCCTTCCGTATTACTACGGTTGCTGGTACCGTTGAAGATACCAAATTGCGAAAAAGGGAATTGCCTGTAATATCCATTTTTGTGATATACTTTCATGATTATACGTACAGGGTGGTCTACTAGAAACCAAACAACTGTATAAGTATTTCCTTCGATTGCGAAGATCCGAAAAAATTGTGAAAGACGTAATTCGGATGATTTTGAAGAACAAATTTGATGGAATGACAATTTGTTTCCAGATCATTTTTTTTCAGTCTGTCAAGGGCGTTGATGTTTTTTTTTAATGAAATTATGTTTTTCTTCTTAATAAGATTTGAAGGTTAATTAAGAATAATTCGCATTTAATGTGAGATATTAATATTCTATTCACAAACAATCAAAATATTGAATGAAAAACAAGCCAGCTAACTAAAACTGAGTTAATTCGATTCTCCCTTGCGATTGAATACAACGAACCAAAGGATAAGCCAGGTTAGACTGAAACATTTAATTATAAAATCAAATTGTCTGGAACATTAGGTAAAACCAAAACCAAGAATAATATAATAGATTCACATGTAAACATACCGCTAGCCCATATACATATATTATACAAGTGACCTAATATTTAGCTCAGTAAATTAAATTCGTAGAAAGCATCGATGGATTTTTAAATTTAATAATGAATTGACATATTGTTTCAGATTCGTACACTCAACGGAGATATTTATATATTCAGTTTATAGTGAACCACCCTATATACAGGCACTCTATAGAGCTATGTATTTATAAGTATGCTACGTATTTGTATTATCTAATAAGAAATAGTTCCTTCCTTCCAGATGCTCGGCTATATCTCCAAAAAGAGCAATAACCAGAAATAAGAAATAGTTGTGGACATTGAATATCTCTTGTCTATAGCTATACAGTCTTCTTGACTTTGCTCTAAGTTCCCGTTGCGATCGAGAAAGAAATGATTTCTTAAAAAGTTCCAGACTCCCAGCTATGAGCCCATCTCGAAACTACCCCTATAATATATAATACGAAAAAACCTGGAAAATTGTCGAGAATGGCCATTTTCCGTGCGAAACTTTTCGAGAAATAAGCATATATAGAAACCTAGCCAGCGGATTCTAGTACTCGCGAAATGGCACATTTTCCATAACGAAATGGTTAGATTCGCCATTTTAGAATGGTCATACTATTCTACTTGCGGAACAGATGTTGCGCCCGTAACGTTACTTCGCCCACGTACAACCATCTGTGTGTGAACAATGCACAAAATGCACAAGAAAAAAAAATTGTAACACAGAAGAATAAAAGTTTCTTCCGAAATCGTTACCTGAAATAATAATTAAAAAAGGGGATAAAAAGGACACTTCACGGCTTACTAACGGCGGATTCGTTATAATTGCGAATTAATAAATCAGTTATAAAGTAATACTCGCTCCACATTCTCGAGTACAGTTTCGTTCACAATGATCGATAATAAGCTTAAATTTAACGTCCAATCGACCTAAATCACTGAAAACTAATTGCTACGTTTCAAATTAACTTGCACGGCTATACCGTGAAACTTAACCTCCTTACTCTTTTTCTTCTCCCTCCTCGTTTTCCCATCTCACTCTCTTTTCTCACTTCTCAACGTGACACTTTATCACTGCAATTCAGCCATTTCAATCGATATCCGCCGATATCACAAGCGTGAAAGAGCCCCGAAAATCGATAGGAAATAATGAAGTGCAACGAAATACTTTATTCAAGTTAATACGGCAATCGTTAATTCCCGGAAAGCGACTCGATATTCAATCATACGTTATCACGTATAAATTAAATATATGTATGTACGTGTAAATGAAAAATCAATGCTCGAATTCAATTATGAAAAAAACGACTGAGAAGCGATACAGGAATATTAATTAAAACGAGAATAAACGAAAGGTATAAGAGAAGGCGGTAGAGGGGGGAGGGCTGATATTAAAAATTTGGTATATAACATAAATACAGAGCAAAAAATATAAGAGAATCATTTATGGAATATAACGCAAATATTTCAATACTTCGTTATAACTATATAAAATATGTAACGTTAACGTATGATAACGAAAAATATTGCTACTTGAATTCACCTGGAATTTGCCATGAGAAATTCTATTGGCAAGAAAATGTAATTCGATTTACTTCAGAAATACGAGTACAGTCTGCTCGTCATTGGACGCAATCTACTAGCAGGCACTAGAGTCTTGAAAGGATGTTGCTGCTGTATTCTAAAGAAAGTAGAAAGTAGAGAAGACGGTTATGGTCGGATTCTACTACTGCAAGGCGTATAAGTCACTAAGAAGGATAGGAATAGGTATAGCTACGCCAAGGAAGGTTTTAGGTTTTAAACCTGTAGGTACCAGATGGAATAAAGAAGAGAGAGAAAAAAGGGGAATGGGAGAGGGGTTAGAGAAGTCTAAACAGGGTAGGGGTCTCCACTCGAGTCTCCACTCGAGTCGAGCTAACTAATGACGCTTCTCTGCATGCGGCACTCGAGGCTCACGTTCGGCTTCATAGAGTAGTAGAGCCCCGGTACGTGCCAGCCACTCGGCAACTCAATCAACCCGATATCCTGTCATCATTACTTCTGATCTTACTGACACAACGTGGACCCATGAACTTAATTAATGATTATGCTTGTTTGCGGAACTACGAGTTTTCAGTCTGGACCATGGGAAGTGGCATTGATATGGCTGTACATAAAATTCGAGACAAAGCGATGGAACGATTAAATTAAAATATACATGAAAAATAAAACTGTGTATGGGTATAGACGAAACTTACAGAATACATAAATTACAAATTTAAGACTTCCGGCTTCAAAGAGCATGCACCTAATCAAGAGACTCGGTTGAGTCTTGCGCCAAGTACAGGCAACCCGCCGTACGGGACACGGCCCGCCGAGACTCTTTACTCGAAGCATCTCTTGTACCTGTGATTCGACTCAAATATCTTATGAACGGCTGTATGTGAGAAAAATGTATTGATACATTCACTGTAGGAATCAAGGGTTCTGAATTGATTGCCACCAAATTCAATACGATTAGTGTACAGGATCAGGACGTATTCACATGGCGAGCGAGATGATTTAATTTCAGGTCCGTCGTCGTCGTCGTCGTCTTCGCACGTCCATCGCATTTTTTACACGACAGATGGCGCTGACTGCTTTGCCTTCTTTACCTATTTGTACTCTAAATGGTGTTAGTAAGTTACGAATACACAACACAATCAAGTACACTTTATACGTGAAGCTACCGTTCATACCGAATTTCCACTTAGTGTAAGGGTGCTTTCACAACAGTATAGAATTATTCAGTTTTTAATAGTATTCATGTAGAGCGCGCGTACATGGGTGTATGTATATGTGTGCTTCGGCATAGTTCCTTGTATTTTAGGTGACAGTTTGTCCGGGTGTTCCGCTCCGTAGTTTTCTGTATCTAGATGGCGGACGTGGAAGTCCAGGGTGTCCAGATGTTCCGCTCCGTAGTTTCTTGTATCTAGGTACTGGATGTGGAAGTCCAGGGTGTCCAGGTATTCCGTTCC